GTGTTCGTTGTTAAACGTGTATACTAGCGTTAAAATTTACTTTACCACACACACGCTCCATCATGTACAGGTAAAGTGTCAGAAAATAAGCGACAGTCTGGCATGCGTGCTTGACCTCTCAAATACAATACGCGTTTTTTTTTTTTTTTTTAATATACTTTTATACTTGTGTATTATTATTTATTAATTATTTATTTACTTCTTTTTCCTTGCTCCTTAATTTCAACCTTTTTTTTTTTCTCTTCCTTTGTTATTCTTCTTCTCCCCGTTTTTAAGTTCTCTTAAAAGTTCGTCGTCGTCGTCGTCGTTTTTCTTCTTCTTTTTCTCTCTTCCCTCTCTTTGCTCTCTCGCAAAATGTGCACCTAGCGTGCATCACACCGGAGTGGGATTTTCATCAGGAGGGCATCGTTCTAGCCGAGTTCTACTGTCCCTATCATTTTCTCTTCTTCCTTTTTCACTCGCCGACGAAAAATCAAGTAACGCCTAATACGTGGTTCCTTGAAAACGAAGGTGCACGGGGAAAATGTCCACACCGATGTTCACAATTTCTCGCAATTTTTACTCTTCTCCTAATATTGTCCCTTTCTCGTGCTTTCGCGTCAAACTTTCTTCCCCTATTCGCTCTGCGCTAGTTTCTCACCGTTATCGTGGAATACGCGATTAGGAATGGGCAACGTACAATCGTGAATGCATCGTACGAAACTTCAAGAGCAAGTAAGAAAGAATCGATGCCGCTTTTTCAGCGAGATGAAACAAAATAGAGATAACAAACAGGAAGAAAAAGAAACGAAAGAAGATGGAGAAATCGAGGGTGGATTTTGTCTAGCGCTGCGCAGATTCGTTCTCGAAGAATTATCACGAAGTAGTACCTCGGTCCTGATTGATCGTTCGAAAAAAAAGAAGAAAAGTCGAAATTTCTCTTTCACCAGCTTTGCGTGTGATGTGTCGAGCAAGTGAATTTTGAGAGACGATACACTCTTGATTGAAATACGCCATACTCCGCAGATCACATTCAATATGTATATATATATACATACGTATCTACAAAAACGTTATGATATGATTACAAGTCCTAACTGCTTATTATCTACTTCTTTTTTCTTTTCTCCTCTTTACCTTACGTGTTAGGTCCTGCACACTATTTCGAAACGAAATTTCTTCTCCAAACGTCTGTTTATCTTTTACTTAATTCCTCGTCGGATAAAACCGTGATGCGCACCTGTTTATTACTCTACCGTGAAACCTATTTCTGTGTGTATTTTTTTATTTTCCTCCTTGTAACCGTATATGTATATATATATAATTACACAATAGCGACGATTAATAATAGTAAATAGTAATAATATTAATAATAACAGTAATAAATCATATTACTACAATTGGTAATGAAAAGTTACGAGAATGTGATGTAGAACGAAATTTTACAGTCCAAACTTGTGGACGTGGATACTTAAAAAGAAAAAGAAACAAACAAAAGAAGAAGAAGAAGAATGAAAAAAAAAGAAGAAAATTACGTTTTATATATATAAATATTAAATTGTTGGAACAGAACACAATACCGTGAAAAGGAATCGAGAAACAATAAACGAACGCAACGATCGTCGTCATCATTATCGTCGTAAAACGCAACGATCGTCGAGAGCACGTCGTCGATCACTTTTACAGCGCATCTTTTGTTTGTATTTTGTAATTGTCCTTTGTTTTACTCCTTTTTGCTTCTCCCCCTTAAATCCTTAACTTAGTACCTTTGTTTAATAACGTGATTTTTCTTTTTTTCGCGTCGATACACACATATACATATATATCACCCTACGATTGATAAGCAATTTTTTTTGTTTTTCGAAATGAGAAACTCGCCAAGCAGCAACGTACAACGTGTATCCTCTTCCGCTACAAGTGGTACGTTGTTTCTCTTCCCTTCTTTCTCTCTCTTTCTCAGTGTTCCTTTTATCTTCTTTTTTTTTTTGTCATGTTTGCGTTACTCGCGCTATCTTTTCCCACCTCTCTTTTTTTTTTTCTCAACTCCTTTAAAATTCCCCTTTGTCGCATCTCCCGTTTGTTTACTCAGCAATCAACAAGGATCCTCGCTTCTTGTCTACTGAGCCCCTTAAAACTGTATACAACTTATCCTCTAGTTGTATTGTAACAAATATTGCCTCGAATATAAACACTTTTTTACTTTAACTCTTTTTTTTTTTTTATTACTCCCTTACTGTAAGATTTAATAATTCTCGTTATTATTTCTTTTTTTTTTGTTTGTTTGTTTGTTCGTTTAAGTTAGGTCTCTCTCTCGCGATCAATGGACAAAAGTGGCGGATATCTTCTACCTTTCTTTCTAGCACTCTCTCTCTCTCTCTCTCTCACGCATCTTTGTTCTTTTTTAAAAAACAACAAAAAGGTACCGGGCAAACCGACGCGCGTTCAGGCCCCGTCCTTTTCTTCCCCCCTCCCACCCCTTTGTTTGTATTTTTTTTTTTTGTTTGTTTCGTTTCTTATTATCTTACGTTACGTATGGCCGAGTCAAGTCTCTCTATTTGTTTTCTTTTTTTCCCCCTCTTCTTTTTTAACAATTTATTTAGAGTTTAGTCATTTGGTTCGCTTCGAAAACACAACTTATTACCTTTTATACTTTAAGTTAATTAATTAATTAATTTATCCATTATTATTATTATTACGTTAACCTTACGCGTGTGTTTATCTTCTTTTTTTTTTATTCATTTTTTTGTTTCTTTTATTTATACTCTTAAATCGGAGATCTAAAACCTTTCTTATAAAAACGTCCCCCGGCCCGACAAAATATTGCCGTGGGACCACTAATATATTGTGTGACGTCGACTTCATTGTCTTCATATAAAATTCAATTCACAGTCCGCGATCTGATTAATAGTGTACGAGCGCTTGAAGAGAATATAACCTTCGATCGCTTGTCTGCTTGGATTTTTTCCATTCTCTCTATCTTTCTCTCTTTTTTCCTCTTTCATTCTGGTTCTGACTATGTCTCTCTCTATCTTTGTCTCGAGTCGTCGCCGTCGTCGTCGTCGTCGTCGCAACCTGAACACTACAGCTTTGGGGAACTTCCGGTTTCTCATTTTTCCCTTCGTTTCGTATCCATTATCGCAAACTTGTTTCATCGAAGACACAGGGGACAATGAACAATATTCGATTCTTTCCTTTCTTCTCTTTCTTCCTTTATTTTCTTCACGTTCTCACACTCTTTGGAAAATCGAGACTCGCGAGAAGCTTCCTCGTGCGACGTTGAAAAGAAGAAGCGACCCTGTTTTCGAGACGAATCGTCCCGTATCCGTTTTCCGTACTCTATTTCTAGTTCTCCACCGGATTTCAAGCGGCACACGCAAGTGGATATCCGCGGAAACCGAATACATCCGAGATTCAACGCGCGAAAAGCTAACATTTTCTTCCCGAACTTCCGCAAAGAACCTTTCTCTCTCTCTCTCTCGCTCTCACTCTTTCTCTCTCTCCCTTTCATCCTTCTCACTCTCTCACTCTCTCTCCCTCTCGAGCACAATTCCAAGCGTTGTAAATAAAATCTGGACAACGTGAAAACATAAATAGATATTCGTTATTCGAAGCGCATGTATAGATATCAATATATAATATATATATATACACGTATAGAGTATATAAAACAACGACAGATAGAGCTATCAGAATCGGAGAACAGTGAGACTTTTTGCGTTTCTTTTTCCCATTGTATTCTCTCTCTTTCTCTCTTTGTTCTTTATACGTGTTTTGCTGTACAGCAAAAGATTCTCGCGAGTCGGATGTATCTATAAGTATTGTTTCTTTCATTTTTCTTCGTCCACTATTTTCCTTAATTTTCTCGCACACGTCGCGACGGGTGAGTCAAATGTGCAACGATCGTATCTCTCCATCGATACATCTTGTTCCTCTTTACATATTTTCCCTCTCCTCTCGTAGGCGGATTCGTTTGTGTTTTCTTTTTACTCGCGTGCACGATTGATCCAGATCCTCTGAACACTCTCAGAAAAATTGTATCCGGCGTGTGTAGCTTCTAAATGGTCAATGAGGAACCTCCGATTTATTGGATCCCATGAGAAAATGGTCAACGAGGAACGCGGTGCACTCAGCTTCGAGAGATCGTGGAGGTGTCTTTTCCTTTCTAATTCTTTCCTCTCTCTCTATATATACATATATCTTCTCGTTGAACATGTTTCACGTAAAAGTGACAGCCGACTCGTACGTGAGCCATCGAGACGAACGAGTATACTTCGAAACGGCACACGCGCGCGCCACGCAGCAAAAACGAACAACGGAGGAGAAACACGCGATGTGTGGCTATCGCCGTCGTGCGATACACGCGAGAAACTTCATACACGCTTGGGCGAACGGTAGAAGCGACTGTGTTCTCTCTGGTCCATTTGCCTCGCGAGAAACCGTCGATTCGCGTATTTTTCATGTTTTCCTTTATCTTTCTCCCCTACTCGAATCGACGACAATTCCTCGACAGTTGCTCGCGAGACGTACTAGTCTCGTTTCCCAGCCCTTGATATGTAATCCGTGCCGACCACGGTAGACTCCCCCAAATTAGACAGACGCTGGGTCTCTTCCCGAGCTTTTCTAGTATGTACAACATGGTACGAGACAATCCTTCACGATCGATCCTCGCGTCCGACAGAAGGAAAGAAGCATCCGCGAAAACGACGAAGCGAATCCTCTCTCTCCACCACGTTTCCCTCTTACTACACACACTCTCTCTCTCTCTTTCCTCGCGTTAGCAGCCGATGATCACGCACAAAAATTGTCCTCTTCGTTTATGTTATCTCGACGAATTCCCAACGACGAGAGGATCCGTTTCGACATAATACTGACACACTTGTAGCATACTGTGAAGATACGGTACTAAATTTGCATACCGTGTACGGGATCTCCGCGCTACGGACTAAGCACGTATACCCGGACCTCGCCAAAGCAACGCAAGTAGGAAAGAAGAAACGAAAGAAGAGAAGAACGGAGCGGTATAACAGCGGTGAGTGAATAATTAAAAAGTGACGAAACAGGTGTAACGAACGAACAAAAATAATATGGATAATAGTAATAATAATAATAATAGCAATAAGAAGAAGAAGAAGAGTAGCGGTAGTAGTAGTGGTGTACGTGTAACCGATGATCAGGTTGGCAAAAAAGAGAAAAAAAGAAACAAAATATCGCTGCCTCTCGGTTATTTCGCCTTGACTTTTCCATTTCCGGCTAAACAGACGATCCTCGATGACCTTCGAGCAGCCCACCACCCATGCCACGTTACACCTTGTCGACAACGATGATCCGGTGGTCGACGTCGCCGCCGCGATCATCTTTCCATACGAGAATCTTCCAGCCAGATCGTTGTTCGTCCTCCTCAACTCTCGTGGCCAAGATTCTCCGCCCCGCTGACCCTCGAACGGAACCGGAAATTCTTCCAGCGACCAGCGTCTGATCCTTGCCAGGTGGTCACCATGCGACGAGGAAGAGGAGGAATAGGAGTAGCAGCAGGAGGAGGAGGAGGAGGAGGAGAAGTCGAAGAAATTGAAGAAGATGAAGAGGACGAGGTGGCGGTTTTTATCAGTTGCTACCACGTCCGGCGAGTAGGCCCGCTGCTCCTCTCATCAGTACGGCCAGAACGTAGGCAGCGGAGGTGGTGGCGGCGGTGGCACTGTAGGATACAGAGTCGGGGTGGCGATCAGGACGCAGGTGGGCGGCAAGGGGGGCGGCACAGGCGGCGGTAAGACCGGGGAGAGTGTAATCGCTGCGGCTGGGTGCAGGGCCGTGCCCGTCGGGGCACACAACGGGTGCAGGGCGAGAGAGGGACGCTGGCGCTGACGCTGACGCTGCTGGCCCTGGACCTCGCCGTTCTATTCCGAGTCCTGCTGCATTTTGACGTGGCCATTACCGGCGGAATTGCTCGACGTGCTGCCGCTGCTTGGCGGGAAACTCGTGGGTATGGTGCGCGACGAAGAGAAACACAGCTTCATGATGTATGGGAACTTGCCGTCTGGAAAAGTAGAATTGGATATGCTGGTTGAGTAGGCTGCTATGTTCTCGTCCCGAATTGGACGGATGATATTCTTTGATTGGGATGGATTAACCCTTTCGCTACGGACGGAGTTCGTGCACTCTGGACAGATGAGTGTGGCCGTCAAATTATTGGAGTTTTCATTTAAGTTATTCGGAATTAATATTGGAAGCAAATACATCCGTAAGTCAGTTTACGATTTAAGAATTGAACAACTGTTTTTCTATTATGTTTTCAAACTTTGAAATCAATTTCGAAGATCCAATGTTATTTCAATTTTTCTTTTAGTGCTAGTTGATATTGCAGAATAGCACTCGTGAGTATCTGCCCACGCATTTATTTCCGATGTTCTCTTTTACTCCAGGAATTTCCGGAGAACGTTTATTTTTTAACGAAGAATAATAATTCTCTTGTAATATTTGTTATACCTTTGACATGAAGCGATAGTAGAGGCAAATATTTATGAGTAGCAAGAGTTACATTTGTTGCTTTAATACTTCATCAAGCGAAATCTCTGTTCAAGTACACTACAATGCACAATTTGTATTCAATAATTCCTCCTATTACGAATAATTTATGTAAGAGCCGAGAAAAAACCGAGGGAGCCCCAAGCAGGAATCGAACCCACGACCCTCGGATTGGCAAGCCGGGACTCTACGCCCTCCACCAAGACACTCTAGGTAATTTCACCTTCTTATTGCTCTTATTAATGAATACAGAGACCTCGACCCACGTTAAATATCACTTAATATTATAAAATCAAGGGTTCACTTCAAAAGATCAACTTTCTTCCACCGAAATGCCAATACTCTTTGACCCTTCCTTGAATTACTTTTTTTCATAAATTTGCGATCTATCTAGCGCGTCCGTAGAAATTCATTTTTACCCAAGCACAGACGTACGCGTTTCCCCGATCACGAAAGGGTTAACACAACTGGAGATGGATGTACGTCACAGAGACAATCGCAATTATTAACAATCGTTACTCACTACTGTTTTCCAATGCTGTGTGATTGCATTCCATGATCGCAGCTACCGCGATTCCGACGCTGCTGAATTCGATGAGGCCGGACGACGATCGTTCCGATTTAAGGGGGAACAATTTCACTGTCGTCGGCGCCTCGATGCCACGCTCCACGAACACACGATGCACTGTCTCTTCGGTTAAATCCGGGGGAGTGTTGAAAAAGTGGACTATCTTCGAGGGTGGCTGTATTCTATTCTTATTGGCCATTGCTGGATTTAGGAACCTATAAATCAACAATCACGCGAAAATCCATCGGTTAAATCCTCCGATTGACTGCACTAGCACACGTGTCACGAGGGAAAATCCCTCGTGGATTTACAAAACAAAAGCAACACCCGTTTTGACAATTAGAATTAGAGGAGCGTATCGATCCGGCCGGAGAGATATACAGAGGCCGTATTTAAAAAAATTCCAAACTGCCGTCACGATAAATCGTTACCGGTGGAAATAACCGTACCGCGTGGTATTGTTATATCGCCGGAAACAGACGAATCGTGCGCCGATTCCCATTGGACTGGACGACCGTTTCCGGTATACATTTCAACTTCCCCAATTCCCGGCAAGCTTGTAATTAATTTTACGCGATCCAACTCTCCGACCGAGGTTTAAAAACCCCCACCGGTCGTAGTTAAGTTTTCATCGAATAAATATTCAATCTGCGAGAAACGGGGGGAGAAAGTGAACTGTTGGAGAGTTCTACTGCGGAAGTAGTAGCGTCGTTAATTGCTGTACCGTTTCACGCGAAACACGCTCTCCTCTCATCGATGCGAAACGTTCGTCCAGTCGTTAAACATCCCATAGAATCGTTCTCGTTAACGTTCATTCAACGTCCTAAGATACAACTTCGAGCTGATTAGAGTCACGACTGGGGTCTCCTTTTCAGCGCGGTTCAACTGGTAAATTCGAGGAACTGATTCTCCGGGGGTGTTCTGTTAAACGTGTCTCTTGGAACAAGTCCACCCGAGTACAAATCGGAATACACAAAGTGCGAATAAACGTCGCGTCGAATCAGGTCGAGACGTCGAGAAAGACGATCCAAAAATAGGATCGAGATGTGAGAAAGAAGAAGAAGAAGAAGAAGAAGAAGAAAAGAGGGCTAGAATATTCTAGTGGAAATGCTTGTTTAACTTTACCTGTTATTCTTGCTTCCCGTGAAATCCTTGAAGCTCGCTGTCTTGTCGGGCAGAATGTAGGGGTTGGTGACGTCCGAGAGGAAGGCTTGCTTCGAGAAGCCGAGCTGCAACCTGCCGTCCGTACCGATAGTCACGTTGTTCAGATTCTGTAAACACCGTTCCACGGCTATGCTGTCGCCCATCTGGATCATGGCACAGCCCTCTTTCGTCTTCAAGAACTTCACCTGTCACGAGATCACGAGCGCGCGTTTGTTGAGCTTTGTTTCGTAGTTCAGATTGGACGGTGGCGTGTCTTTGCTCGATTATAGAGATTAGGATCGGTGTTGGTCCAAGGGGGATACTTCGCTCAAAAATGGAATATCAATACTTTCCTAAGCTCCGGAGAGTTTTACTATATCGACACCTTGGCAAACTTTGTTTCGAACGAAACAAAGAATTTTTCCGACATATAATGCATAATCTATCCTCGAGAGCTAAGACTTCGCCTTTAACCCTAACCACTCGGAATGCCAATTGTGCCAGCATAAATATTCATTTCGACAGCTCGCGATTTAAAAAACCATAAACTAGCCCAACCATTCAGACTGACAACCGTAGGAACCGAGAACAAATCTCCCTATTTTTCCTCGTCGGTTCCCTATTTGTTTATAGAGCCCCCTTTTGTAGAAAACTACAAAACTATAAAAATTCCGTTTTCTCAGGAAGAGAGTAATCCCGAAACAATTTCACGACAAACTCCCTTTCCAATTCCGAACGGAGAGAGATGTCGAGGTATCCGCGAGCAAAGGGTCCCAGCGACGAGAAACGCGAACCAACCACGAGGTACAAAAGCCTATGCGACTCACCTTCGTTACGTTTCCGTAGAGGCAGAACAAGTTGAACAGCTTGTCGGTGTTGACTTTATCCGGCTGCAGGCCGTACACCATCATCACGGATCCCTGTGTGCTGGAAGGCGGTGTCTGTCCCAAGGTGGGCACGTAACCAGGCCGAGGTGGCGTGGGATGCAACGGCTCTCGACCGCCAAACTCACTCTTAATACCATAACGCTCAACGTACGGCTCTGCATACGTTGCTGGTCCATTGAAATTCTCCTCGTAACGATCGTGGCCAGCACCCGGGGGGAAAGTTACCTGTGGCGTGGATCCTGCGAACAAAAGCACACAAGAGGGGGCGGGTGAAACAGGAGAAGGATACACGGTGTCCTTTGTCCCCAACCCGGCCCGGATCATTTCATTCGCGGGGCGAGAGGGAGGGGGAGAGGGGTGGGTGGGTGGAGGCCTCGTGCATCGCGAAACGCGCACCACGGCTAACGCTAATTATGGAAATCGAGCGACTGTTGCGTCCCTATTAATCACACGGTAAGAGGAAATATTAATCGTTCCTGGTGAATGCTCGTTTAACGCGTCGGCGATCAAACGAACGGGAGGGGAAGTCGACCTTTTGCGCCGCGTTCGCGTCGTTTCGGCTGTTTTCTAAGCCGATTTCTAACGCCGTACAATTTCTGCCACGAATTTTCCATAAACTGTATCAGACGCAATGTGATACGGTGTAGAGAGATACGGGAGTGATTAAAGAGTACGATGTTAATAGGATGATAATGTATATTTTATTGAACTTACTTAAAATAACTTGTTTGTTTCTCTCTCACTCTTCGTCAGCTCGAGCACGCATCTCCTCCAACATGCGATCATCACTCATTTCAGACAAACTCTGCCAGACATTTCTAGACGACTAGCTCAATCACATCCATCAAAATTCTTCGGTGTGGCCACGTACCTTTTCCGTTCGCAAACTACAATTTCCAAGCATCTTCTTTCACACTTCTAGCACTCCGCGTTAAATACTCGTCCTTCGTGTACGTTTATCGTTCTCGTTCAAATCACTCGTTGATCACACTTGAAACTCTAGCACACTCTCTCTCTCTCTCTGCTTCGTTACAAATATTCACACGAAATTTCCCATTCGCGCACGGTATAGATATGTATATGCTTGTGTGTTGTTCAATCCCGTGAAATTTTAAATGGAATTTATGGATTGATATTATTCAAGGATATTCTTGTACAGGTCGTTCGATATTGGAAATTTCTTAAAATACGATTCGACGTGAAATTTGATTGAACGGAAAGACCGGCATGGTCGATTTCCGACAGCAGCCAGTTAACTATCCGAACACAAGAGTCCTTCGTTATCGAACCTTCTCTCTCTCTCTCTCTCTCTCTCTCCACGTATTGGCCGCCATTCTTCAAGCGAACGTCGCGATTCCTGAGATTGGGTTTCGTCCACGGTTATAGTTCCAATACCGCTCGATCGCGACATAACTCCGCTACAATTACATCATCGATTTCCTGTCAAAATTCCTACGATCTCGTTGCTTCTGGCCGCAACTCGCGGGTAATAACTTCCTGACGGGGGGGAGAGAAACCGTAACGTGAACGTGTTCCTCTGTCATCGCCGCCATAAATTGAGCAATTTACGCGAAAATCCCCCGAACAATCCTCCCTCCCCCCTGCTGTTGCATTATAAAACGGATCTAACGCAACCTGACCTTAAGGGAGAGGCGGAGATCGATGATTTCCCGATCTCTACCTTCCCACTCTTTAAACCTCCCGAAAGGCGCAATGAAAAAAAAAAAAGGTAAACTTCGTTAGAAACGTCGTTCGGAAAAAATAAAAAAGATCCATTGCGACACATTTCTCTGGGTTTGATAATTCTGATAACGAACTATTCACCAGCCCACAGCTTTCCTCTCGTTCGCCAGTAAAATGAGAAACTCGCCGTTTGAAAAACTTCCAAACGAACAGAGACTTCTTTCTGTGCAATTACGCGGATTCAGTTCCTTTTTCGCGCGTACACGAAGAGAAAATCGGGGTGGGAACGGTGGAAAGGAGTGAGTGTATCGAATGCAGCCCCGGTTTATCTCGATGGCCCATCCGTTTTCTCGATTGATTCGCTTAATTTCACTATCAAAGAGAGAGAGAGAGAGAGAGAGAAAGAGAGAGAGAGAGAGAAAGAGAAAGAGAGAAAACGAAGAGCGTGTGGGAGATGAGACGCTGAGGGTAAGAGAGAGACACTTACCGTATGGCTGGGGCGCGGCGCCGTATCTGGGTTCCGCCAAAAGGGGAGCCGGCCTTCCATTTCCTGTCGCGTCGTTTTTGTGTGCACTCGATCCTGTAACGATAACAGAAAAAATCTCTCGATTATCCTTCTGTTTTTTTCTTTCTTTTTGTTTTCTCTCGGTTCGAATGGAAAAACGGAAAAATTTCTTGGTCGTTCGAACAACGGACGAATGTCTATTCTCGTTTTTCTCGTTTTCTTTTTTCCTTTCACAAAAGTGTCAACCGACAAATTAGAGGATTCGTTTAGTACCGGATTATCGAGTTTCTCTCTGTCCGTGCATCGCCCGCGATCCTCCTTTTCTCGAAACACCGGCGAGAATTCCGCGAAATTCAATCCACGATCGATTCTTCCCTCCTACCGTGGTGTGCACAAGCATCGAACGAATCTTGAATAAGTTATCGAAGCTAACAGACAGGCCGTCTCCGTTTCTACTAGCGCGCCTACCGGGTTAATCAATTTCCCCCCCTTGGGCGATTCCCTTTTGGAGATGTCAGGTCGTCGGAAATTTCGCGAGACAAGGAACCGGATAGAAAGGGGAGGAGAGGAGGTGCAGCGACTATCCCGACACTGTCAGCCTCAGATTACACCCGATGCGCGACCGATTTCGAATTGGGGATAGTTCGGGGATCCTTCTGCCGTGGAGATCTGGCGGTGGACGCGCGGGATTTTCGGCAGTTCAAAGGTCGTTACGTAGATTTCCGCCGCCATCGAGGGTACACCGGTCCCTCAGGATTACGCGGGATCTGCCACAGTTGCAAAGGGTCAGAGGATAGAACTGTGTGTCTCGCCTCGGTTAGAATCTGCGCAACGGTACGAAAAATCGGAAGAAAGTTGCGCTTCCACGAGAGTTTACCAGGGATTGCAGTCCCACCCCTGGGGATAAGAGTCCAAGGGTCCTCTCGACTCCCGGGACACAGGGCGGGGGAGAACAGTGGTTAATTCTTGAGATCCTCCAAACCTCGAATTCGCTTGCAGTTAGAGCAAGTGGCTGCACCTCTGTGTGCGTGTGTGGATCACACACTGATCTCCCGTTTGGAGAATTGGAAGACTTCAGAGGTGGCCGCGTCGAAGAGTAGAAATTTCGTGAATATTTCAGAAAGGAAGCAGCGATCAATGGAAGGATTAATTATTCACTTAACGTCGCGGTCAATTTTCATTAGGTATATATGTACTTTATTCGTCGAGAGTCGTATCGTGTACAGAAGTTGCATTAACGTACGGTATAAATAGGGATTTACGTGGAAGTTTAATTTTCACACTACCGTTGCGATACGTATTGCATTTGCAGGAATGTTAGTTTGTACCGTGTAACGATATCGAGTACGTGATGGTATTATTGATCGTGACGATTAGATAGAAACGGTATAATAGAACGTGAAGAGACGTCAGTTGCATTACGTCCGATGTAACTATCTATCTTAGCAGAAACCCTCTCCTTAGTGGTAACGAATCGATCTAAGTCCACAATAAGAAACAAGTTATCAACTGAAATTTATCTGTGTTGAGTGGAGAACGATAACAAACATTTCGAAAATACTGCTTTTTTATGTGTTTTCAGTTCCACTTTTATCGACACCTTGATGAACAAGTATACCACTTCCTCTACTATAAATCAATCATTCTATAAATAACAGCATCACACGTGTCACTAACTAAGTCCATCCTAATATCCCCCAGAATACAACACAAAAATTCTTAAAAACAAACTCTTACTAAACTAAAAAATATTCGTTATCCACGTTGCCCGCTCATCCCCAGACAACTTTTTATCACATCGTCGAAAAGCACCGAAGCAACCCTGGAACACTCCCTCAATTTCCTGCATATTTCTATTATTAAAAAGAAGCAAAACGAGAGATCCCCGTGAAAATAACCAACCGGTCTATCCAATATTAAAAACTAATATACTCAAGGAGACTTCTCACCGGAGGAGAAAAGCGGGGGAGAAAAAAGAGAAACGTTCGAGCGCCACCCCCGGTGACGCTGCCATTTCCGGCTGCGCTTCATCTTGCCGGTAGAGCTGCAACCACGTAACCCTGTCAGATGTTTTCCTTCGAGCTGCTGTCGCCCCCCGAGATACAATCTCTCGGCCTCTCCGCCGAAACCAAGCGTATACAATTGGTCTATATTAAACCGCATTACGTACACGGGTTGGGCTCGAGAACGTGGGTGTGCGTCGGGACGTTCGCGTGCACCAGCACACACCGATACCAATAGCCAGCAGGCTCGTCGTAACCTATATTGATTTCGAATATTCGATATCGCGTGCCGACACTCGACGCATCGGTGCACCGGGCCACCGTCGAGGACGATGCATCTTCATCGGGACGAATCCAGACTGTGCATCGAGCCTCTGTCGCGGTGATTTGATTGCTCCCCGGATGGGAAAAGAAGCGTCGCCTTTCCGGCCTGTTAAACCCGGAAAGTTCCTTTCTTTCCTATCGGCGCTACAGTTTGAAGGCTAAGGGTTGGGACTGACTGCCGCATGATTGCTGCAACAGTTTTGTTTTTGGTTCAGATTTGAGATTTTGCGATTTTCGAGTTTACGATGAAAGTTTGTGGAAAGCGGAGAATGACGGGAGATATTAACCCTTTCGTTGCTACTGGTGTTTTGAAAATTTCGTCGTATTTTACTGGTGAAGCCTTTCGACGCGCTTCCGCCTTAATCGATTGAACCGAATTTTAAAAGGATACGGGCGAAATGAGAAATTTGACAGCCGTGGTTAAAAATTGACTCTCAGTCATTCGTGTTACGTATTAAAATCTGCCGTAGCGAAAGGGTTAATACGTCGATTAACGGTGGAAGAGAAAGATGAGTTAAGATAAGTTTTGTGAGTTTTAAATAAGTGTCTAACAGGCAGGTGTTGCATAATTTATAAGTATTTAAAAGTGTTAGACCTTCTAAAGAGAAAAGAGAAAAAGAAGAATCTACGATCGCTGAACTTGGCGAATACCTAATTTCCCTTCTCGTTTCGTCTAAATGGCCGGCGTAAAAATGAACACAGGCAAACCCCGCTCGAACCTTGTAATCCACTACATTATAATCACTGTATATTCACGGCATTTACATAAGAACATTATAACAGAGGAAACTCGAGGAACTATCCTCGTAACACGTGCCTCCCTCACCACCGGGAGAATTTAAATCACGCTTAACACAACCAAGACCATCGTCCATAAACTCGAAGAAGCAGAAACTAGAGTCGATAAGTGTTCATAAATTTTCCCCGGGGTCCCGGTGTTTCAGCCCGCGATAAATTATCAGAAACGGCGGTATCGAGCCTCCACCGTTCGGAAAAACGTGGCGGAGGCCGCGGTGAACCGATACGATTATCAACCACGAAAAAATAAACAATCACCTGACCGCCACAGAGTAACCGGATCTTGGTGACGTCAGCTCGAAGCTATTCCAAACACTATCAATCCACGCCGGAAGAGGCGAACGAGGTAGAAAATCGTCGAGAGGCTGCTGATCATACCGAAAATCAAACGCGCTGAATCAAATCGACGAATCTAACGCGCTCGCCACGGCGGTTGTAGTTTGATTTATGCTTCCCTTGACGAGAAGCACAAAGTTCCCTGATCGTGATCTCTGAATCCCTGTGTGCTCTTTTGCAACAGCAGACCTCCTCTCTGGTTGATACTACTACGCGCGGAAATATTCCGTCGCTAGGCTAGAGCTGTGATCTAAATAAAGATTCACTCTTCGAACGTTTCTTCCCTCCATCCTCTCTCTCACTCCATCTTTTCCTCACTTCGATCCGTGTATTCGAAAGTTATCTCTTCGAACGATCAGTTTCTGCCGATTTAAAGGACGCTATTACCGCAAGCTAGCCGGAAGCTGTACCGAGGCTACACGGACGAGGATTCAAACTCGTACACGACGGAGCGGTAGTATCGATCTCTATTTCCCCGCAAGGAAGTTTAGGGTAGCGGCGCGTCACGGACACCGGGGATAACTTCCGAGGATCCGTGAAAGTTGCCGCTTGTGCGCGTTTATGCGCCCAAAGTTAAGGGTAAATCGAGGAGCGCACGGCGGCTGTTCCCCGTAAAAACCGACGAGACGGCCCCATTTTGGATAATTTACGAGCTACGGGATTCGAGTTGTGAAACGATGCAGGCAGGGACTTAACTTCGTTGACATATTGCCTGGGTGCTGTTGGTTGGAAGATTGAAAGTAAGGTGAAGTACCTGGGTGAAGTGAAGTTCGAACGAGTGATTTGCAAGTTTGATGGATGGTGTTTATGAAACGTTACAACGTTGTGAAAGTTGGTGAAATTGTTCCGTGTTAGGTGTCTCGCGTGATAGAGGGCGACGAGATGAACATTTTTCGTGTAATTAATATATGTCCTATCTTGGACCGTTGCACGGTGAGAAAGCTTGAAACATGGAAACTTTTGACTCCAGGCGTCAAGCAACCCGCCGTGCATCGACCACTTTTACGAGATAAGTAACTTGTAAGGTTTCGTACGCTACTTTGTCACTATTATCGTTATTTAGAATGTTTTCGTAACAACTACCGCCTGAAAAACTTTCATTTCACTGTACTTTTCAAACATTCCTCCACCTTACGAGCGAATTTCAACATTTAGGTCGAATATAACGGCGTGGAAATTTCTCGAATATTCTCCGAGCATCGATAAAAGGGGGGACGTAATTTTCTGATATTACTTTTTTCATTAGAACAGATTATTCTGAACCGGCGTGTCGCCCGGTGTGAGTAGAAATTTTCGAAAAACGCCCGCTGCCGAAAGCTAGGTCCAAGAGAGGCAGGCACGTTTTAATAACGGGAGCTACAGAAACATCGAAGCAAATTTAGGCGAGCCCCGGGAAACGGTACAACCGGGTCATATAGAGGCTCTTACAAGTCCATGAAACTCGATATTGGCACTTGTAGGTCTCGCAGAGGACCTTAGAGATTGCGATTTTGGATATCGTGTCCGGCGGACAAACGTTCCGCTATTGCCTCGATCGGCGAGCTCCTCTAGCGTTCCGCCTTCAATTGAGAACACGAGCTGTCCGTGTTGTCGTTGCACTAGATTTCCTCGCGCACTTTTCGACCTTTTTACCTTTCTCCAAATCTCTGCTTCACCAGCGAAAAAAGTCAATTAAACATCCATTTTCGGAAGTGAATGGATCGTTCTAGCAAGATGATCGTATTTAAAGCAAAGGGTTCGTCGAGAACATGGCGTCGATCCGCATAAACGTCCGAGCGCCACGTGATTCCGCCATGAGACTAACGATCCATTACCCACCGTAACGTAGCTTGTAACTTTATAAATTGCCCTACGCAGACCCTTCGGAGACCATTAAAATCGGATATTGGAACCGATGGCTCTTCTCAGGTGGGTTAACGAAATTCTGACATACGCCCGCGACGACTATATTACGTTCGGGGGCTTAATGGGAAAACGTTGGACCAGAAACGACGAAAAATCGATTGCTTTTTTTAACCGGTTAAAAAGGTCTGCATACACCTTTATTAGCTAACTCAATTTACGTGCCGCATACCCTTTAACGACGATGGCTTTTAGACGAGCTTTTAGAAGACAGTTTTCTCAGTACCAATAATGAGCGAAAAGAAGAAAATTCTCGGATAATGCCAGGAAGAGGAAATAAAAATTTAACGATCCTATCAAAATTTATTCCACCATTTCCAACTACCTTCCATACTTAACCCTTTAACGTTCGCAAGAGCATACCTAATCTCCTTCAGTTTCCACGTATCCTTTCTATTACACCAAAAAACCTACACAATTTCGTTAGAAAAGAGACAAAATTGACAATTCCCGCCTCGTCAAATCCAAAAAAAAACAAACAACGTTCACGTTAACGGGTTAATAAAAAAAAGAAAAAAACCGACAATTCAGCTGTACAGGCTGTTGCGAAAAAAATCTCGCCTAATCGCGCGAGATCGGTTTACCCGGAAAAAGTTACACGCGAACTGGGCCGCGCGTTTTTTCAACGGAACACGCTCGAGGGCGGTTCTCCTTTATCGCGGCGCCGGCCCGCGGCTAGAGATCCGTCGCGTTTCGAAAATTTTCAATCAACTCTCAAACACAGCGAAAAAAGAAGCGGGGGGGAGCGCTGAAGCGTCGACATTGAAGGGAAACGGTCACGCGCGTAATGGAAACGTTTCCACGGCTGTTCCAGCGAAACGGCAATTACGAACGATCGCGTTGCTTGCGATGAGGGGTTGCGTCGCGCCTCCGCACAAACCCCCGTCGTTTCTCATCCCTTTGTTTCTTTTCGAGGCAGAGAGCCACGAGTGCCTCTCCTCTCCGGCCAACGTTTCGCCAGGAAACCACGACGACGACGAACAGAGCTCTCTCTCTCCTTCTCTGTATCGACCTACAGCGTCGCCACGCAGACTGGCGTCGCGCAACCCCATAAAGCAACCCCCCGCTAGAGAAACACGACGACCACACAGACTGGCTGCTGCTGCTGTTGGCGCTCTGCTGTGGCAACGTGAACGCCCGCCATAAGTGGATTGGATGATCGTGTGCGATCGAGCATATGTGGCGGCTACTAATTGCCTCGATGGCGGTTTTGGTTAATTACTCTTGGCTGGGTGAATAGTTTATAGGGGCAATATCGAGGGGAAAAAGTGCGCTAAGTCTTTGTTTTGCTAATGGAAACCTGGAGGATCTTTATTCGAGTGTGGGTGCATTATGAACGGAAACGTTTTCGAGACTGCATATGGGTTTTTTCGATACATTTTGCCGAGGAAAATTTTCTGCATTTCAGTTGGAATTTATTATTCTAGTACGGAGTTTTAAGGTATAACATGACCAGCTGTTATTACGAGAAATATTAATAAACGTAGGTATATTAATGTGGAATATAACTATTAATATTGTTGAGGGATAATATGGAAGAGGTACTTTTTCACTGTTAAGAATTTTACATCGGAGTATCGATTTGCAAATTTTTCATTTGCTCCACTGTACTGCAATTTATTGGATAAGGTTTTCTGAACAATCATATATTAACCCCTTAACTTGCACGCTCGAGTTAATTCGAGCGCGCTAAACAGGCCAAACTGTGCACACTCGAGATAATTCGAGCGGCGTTGTATTTGATGCTGCTATAATTTTTCACACTCGAATATATTCGAGAATTGAAAATAACAATGTGAAAGCTAAGAAAAAGAATCGTGTTATTGATATTTATCATTTACATAGGATTGTAAGCTATAATACTTATTTTTTTTTTGCCAAAACAATGTTCTAAAGTTTGTTTTTTTTACATTAAAAAAATTGATTTTTTTTGGCCGGTTTTTTTCAAAAAAACTGTGCGTTAAGGGGTTAACGTGCTGAAAGATTCTTATGTTGTAATTAATTTTATAATTCTGCTTTATTTTGTGAATATTTCTTCGTCGTATGTTCATCTTCGTAACAACAATAATTAGCTACATATATTATTAACAGCATCCAATAAATGCTGCAGATACTGAGTTTACTGTAAAACGAGCGAAAAACGAAAGATTTTTTTAACAGTTGATCCTTTAAACATCGCACTGCCACCAAACTCTCTCTCTCTCTGCTCGATGGCAACACATGCAAGGTTTCAATATTCAATTGACGCGATGTGTTCGAACGATGCCAATAATTTTCACGTTTTGATTAATCAACGAACCAAAATACCGAAACAAACTTCATAGAATTAACGAAAATTATTCGAACATGTTCACCACCAGCCTACCCTTCTCGTCCTATCAATTTATTTTACGCAGCGCAAATATTATTACGCGTTGTTTGTCGTTTCGCTGGTTGATCGCGAAAACTGAATTACTCCCGCGGTCCGTTAAATTGTTAATATTCCGTTTCGTTCGCGTGCCGATTTATTTCGTTGCGTGCACGCACCGGTCCCCTGTACGAGTCTCCGTAAATCGTTCACAGTTTTGGGAAGATTTGTCACAGATTCAGAACGATGTGTCCATCTTTTTCTCCTTAATTATTCGTAGGTCAGAGGTTTAAGCAACGAAGTAGTTCGATAGAGGTTTAATGAACTATGAGATGGTCTTGTATGATATGAAAATATATGGTTTATTTCTATGTTAGTTTTGAGAAATTTCACGAATTTTTCAGTAAAGAAGCTTAGAGTTGCTAATTCTCTACAGCGATGAAACTTCTAAATTCATCTTGTCACAGAGCTCTTACACGATTTTCCACAGATCGTGGAATCCATATTTACATTTTACAGATAATCTCTGTCACCGTGATTTTGGTAATCGGGGAATTTCAGAAGTTTTTCGTGGAACCACTTTGGGAAATTCTGCTCTATGGCAAAGGAAAGTTCAGGGTGCAAAGGGTTAAGTTTGAGAAGTTTAAGAAAATTCCCCGAGTCCACCGTCTTTCATGGGAATTATACATTTATATTTTATAGACAATTCCCGTCACCCTAATCACAATAATCGGGAAACCCCAGAATTTCTTCGCGCAACCCACTTTGGGAAACTCAGCTCTATGGTAAAAAAAAGTTTCGGATACAAAGGGTTAAGTTTGAGAGAATTTCTCGCGTTCGCCGTCTTCCATAGGAATTGACGCAACAAATGTTTCCCAAAGATCGTGGAATCCATATTTATATTTCACGGAAAATCCCCGCCACACCAATCTCAATAATCGGTTAACCCCAGAATTCTTTCGCGCAGCCCACTTCGACGTAAATTCGGTCCTGTAGCGAAAGAAAAAAAGTTTCCAGTGCAAAGGGTTAAGTTAGAGACAATTTCGTTCCCCGTCTCTTTCTCGAGCGGATAAACGGCGTGTTCCGCCGTGATAAAAGTTACGATTACGCAAGTTCGCGCGTGAATTATCGTTCCCCGACGGTGTTCCGAGTTATGCCGGGTAAAATTAGGGTCGCTGCTTAACAGTGCCGCGTCTTGGAATTTAATGCATTCGTAATTGCTCCTCTGCTGGCCGGGTGAGTTATCAATGTCGCTGAATCTACCAACTCCACGGGGATAACTTCAAGATGCAGAGTAGGGAAATTTTCTACACTCTCACACGACGCAACGAAAGCTTGACAATCATGGGGAACCATCGTAAACACGGTTTTTCGTGCGCGCAATTTTCTCTTGCCGAAACAGAGAGAGAAAGAGCAACAGGTTCGTAGCATCGAGTGAAACGAAATTTCCGTTCCCTGAGCGACACTTTGGGGAGAATGTTTAATTTCCACTGCGTTCAGAGAGATAGGAAAGCTTGTTGGCTAATACGATAAAGTGTCTACGACGATTATTCCACAATTTCACAAATATACGCTCGATCGTCGATGCAACAAATGTTGCTTCACGGGGAAACGAAGAAAGCACCGTTTCCTTCGTTTTACGACAGAGGCGTAAAAACGCGTAATATTCCACTTCCGATTATTGCGGACGGATGATACGAGGGAGAAACGTGAAGCTCGTAAGCGTAATGAAACCGAAATCAAATCGAAAAAAGGCTCGTAAACTTGTCATAAAATGTCAGAAGTGTTGCAGTTAAAGAAAGGCGAAAGGTCAAGCGATAAAAGCTGCTGTTTTAAAACGCAGCTGTGCTCTTCGCCGGAGCGGATGCTGCATGTCGCGTACGATGATTAAACGTTATACTACAAACGCGGATTCACCTTGCGTGATAAAGTAGAAGAAGAAAAAAAGAGAAGGACATCTCTAGCTTCCACCGAAAATAGGTCAAATTAGCGATTGAAATTTACGTTCTAAAAATGTCTCGATCCCAGCCCCGGCGCAAACGTTTATCGTTTCATCCACGCCGACAGCCGGCGTAATTAGAAACACAATATACCGACGTCGTTTCGAATAATCGTATGCACAATGCTACCAATCGCGACGCAAGCACACCATCCTCTCTACGGTTAATTAATAACGTCACGTGTGTACGTACACGTACTAACTCATTGATCCTCTGTGAGCCTGGCTAGTCTCCATGTTTCCGTTTACCGAACAGCCCCAAGACTTCCGGTCCCAATCTTCGCTCTATGACAAATTGCTGGAAGCTAGCTAACGTTACTCGATCGCGTTCGTACCATATATTTCACCTCTGATCGTTCTTTCAACCCTTTCAGCGCTTACCAAAGTGACCAAATTTTCTCCTAATTTTTATCACGACTTAAATTCTTCACAACTAAACAACATTCAAATACGCGTTAATTTTTTCTTACCTATTTTTTGGCAATTGCAACGAACTAAAAATACATGCATTCGTTCCACGTTGTCGATAGATATACGGCTTATAAAATACACACTCAAAGGGTTAATTCTCTTCTTATCGATGAAAAAAACTGAGCAGAGAGAGAGCGAGAGAGAAAAAGTTGTCGAAATGAATCGACGAGATCCACTCGGAGGCAGTTTCATCGAATCGAGCAGAAACAATTTGAACGATGCTCGTTCGATTGTCGTGGAGAGGTGCGCCGCGGAAAAAAGCTACATTTCCCGGGAGCTCTCTAAAAAAACCTGCTCCGGACGTTGTCGGGTGGGGTTTTACGAATCGAAACTTTCTTAATCCCGAGTTTTTAATCTCCGCGCCGTGCCAGCCATCGTTCTTCCGAGCAAACTGCCGCCCCATCGATCACCGGGTGTTTCCGATAATACAACAGACGGTTTAAAAAACTAGCGATCGATGGTTATCGAACGTTGCCAACCATGAACAACTCTCATTCTGTCCCTGTTCGGTTCGTTATTATCGAAACACGAAAAAAAAGTTCCTCGTACAGCAACGAACAGAGTCCTTCGAACGTAACACTCTTTACGTCAATCGTGCGTTCTATCATCGTCGTCATCTCGAGAGAGCACGGTTTACAAAATTTCTTCCCATCCAGCGAGCATGTTGTTGAATCCTGCGCAGCTTTTCGCACACGGTTGATCATCTCGCATCGGCAGAAACCGGTGAAGTCGAGTACCTCGATGGTACTTCTCGCGTGGTCAACTCTCTCCCCGAATCGATTCGAAACAGAGAGAAGAAAAGTAGAAAAAAAAAAAAAAGGAAAGAAGAGAGAAAGCTGGACTCAAATTTTCCTACTGTTCGCGGTTAAAGCTCCGAAAAAAAAAAAAAAAAAAAAGGAAAGAAGAGAGAAAGCTGGACTCAAATTTTCCTACTGTTCGCGGTTAAAGCTCCGGAGACGCTTCAGTTTCTGTTAAGCCTTGTGGTAACTCGCGGTCAGCCTTCCTCCTCCTCTCTCGATCGACGTGAAAAGCGCTAAATTCGAACTGTTTCTGCGGTACACACCGTGTTCCCCGGCCGGTCAGGCTCTCAGGTTCGAATAAAACCGACTCACCTTTCATCGAGAACCTCTCGCTGATTTTCTTCACGTACTTTTTTACATAAGTATATATACATATACAGAAATGAATAAAAAAAAGAAATATATGACAAACAAAATCGGGATGAAAAGTGAAACTGAATTTACTCAATTTAATCATTCTCCCGATTTCGCACGGATGGGGTAAGAGAGACAGATCGAAAGAGAGAGAGAGAGAGAGAAAGAGAAGAGAGAGAGACAGAGATAGAGAGAGGTAGAGAAAGTGAGATAGAAAGAGAAAGAAAGATAGAAACTCTCCTGGCAAACACATTTTTTTTTTTAATATCATTCTTTTTTTTTTTTTTTATCTTAATGAACAGACACTTGTTTTATTGAGCTGACTTACCGTGATTAACCCCGCCTGTTTCGATCTCCGTCCGACTCGAACTCGAGATCTACGGACGATTTGGCGTCCGCGTTCTCACAGAGACCACCGATGACTATCACTCTCACTCTTCGCAGACAGTAGTAGGGGGAGAGGGTGTAAGAGCCGTAGACCTGCCTAAGCCCCACATTCTCACCGGGCCCTGACTCGGTTCCACGTGAATCCATCATCACCGTCAAGTGAACAACGAGTAGGCTGCATCTGCACACAGACAAACATTCCAACATAACAACCCCCATGTTCTCATGTTTCCACAAATTCCTTTAACGGATTTTCTCCTGTGCGCTCGATTGTCGCACGCTCGTTAACAGTTACTTTTTTTTTTTTTTTTTTTACTTCGGATATCTTATATATATACTTTTTTTGTTTGTTTGTTTGGTTTGGTTTGTATATATATATACATAATATATGTTTTTTTTTTTTGGTTTTTTTTTTTTGGTCCTGCGGCAACACATCGTTTTTTGCGGGCCTCTCCGGTCGTCCCGTGTACACGGTTATTTAACTTTCGTACGTGCATATACATTATTATGTACATACCATTACATATACACAGATCTATATATATACTTTTTTTTCGGGATTACTGTTAATACTTTTTGTTGTTGTTGATGTTGTTGTTTTGTTACTGTTGTTTTCTGTTCTGTCTCGGAATCCGTCTACGTAACGGGGTACGTATCTATATAGGTAGACGTCTATATACATGTGTGTCTTTTTTTCCTTTCTTTCTGCGGGTTAGTTTGATATTTATATTAATATATATCTCTGTTGGAATTACTTTTGTGATGTGCATACGGTAAACAAGCGACAAAAAAGAAGGAGACAGATTAACTAAGATTGTGTGCGTAGATTATACGTACATACACGTACAGGTAATATGTGTACGGACAATAAAGAGGTATATATATATATATATACATAGATGTGACAAGAAAGAGAGAAAAATATATATTTTTTTTTCGAACGGATAGACGACAAAGGGGTGGTCGTTTTGTATTCTGATTTCTCTCGGTTGTGACCGGAGGTTGGGTGGGTTCTCTCTGAGAGCCTCGATATATGTATATATCTCGACGTGGACATTCTATTTTACTTTTATATTTTTATTACTTTGTTTTGTTCGATTTATATACTTTTTTTTTGGTATTTTTTTTCTACTTCTGGATACGGTAATAACAGTGGTCGATCGAATGTTTGTCTGTGAGTGCACTGGTAGCCTTTGCGAAACGTTGTGGTGGTGAGCATCTAATATATATATATATATATATATATATTTATATTTATATAGATATATATACTGAAGGGTTGACTCTGAGTCGTATATTTTGATCGTAAAATTGCTTGGTCGAGAGCGTTGTTTACCCTCTCGACGTTGCTTTTGTATCTATCTATTTATTATTATTGTTGGTAATTACTTTATCGAGCACAGTTGCAGTTGTTTTTTTTTTTTCGGTGGTGGTGGTATGTGGAAAATATTTGATTTATTAATTTTTTTTTTTTTTGCGTTCCCGATGAATGGTGAAGGGTCCGGCAGATCTACGGCGTAATGTGTGGTATATAAAATGCAGGTATATATATCTGTAAGATATTGTGGTGCATGTTTCTTGTCTTGCTTGTTGTTGTTGTTAATGTAGCTGTTGTTACTGTTGTTATTATGTTATATATTGTTACTATGTTATATACAGATATATTGTTCATGTTGTTGTTCTTGTTACTGTTGTTCATGATGTTTCCTGTCCAAATACGTTTCATTTCCTAGACGTCTCTTTCGTTCTCTTTCTCCCTCTGTGTTCCGTCTCTCTGTAACACCGCAAACGGCTCTCGCTTTTCCAACGTCACTCCTCTACAGTGTCGCGTGTAACGAAATGCGTCAAGTCTTTTCCCCTCGGTCGACGATTATCGATTGTCGATTAACGACAAACTTCGACGACGGAATATTACAGTCTCTCTCTCTCTCTCTCTCTTTTTCGACGAAGTAGACAGGAAGAGCGCGCGGACGGTGTGAAGGGGTAGTTTGGCGGATGGTATCGAAGTGACGAGAAAGGTTATCGCGATCGTAGAATCGGCGCGGGGGCGGGCGACGGTGAGGAAAACGCTGTTTGGCAACGTATATCAAAGAAGTCGAGCAGAAGAAGAGATACAGAGAGAGATAGATAAGGGAGAGAAAGAGAGAGAGAGAGAGGTATCGCGAGGAGGTCTTAAAAACGGTTCTTACGGCCGATAACGAAATTCATTTCCCGTGTTCGAGAAGAACGAGAGGAGAGAAAGCATCGATGCCCTCTGGCAACCTGGATTTCTCAAGGCTCGTCCGTCTTGATTAACCACGACAGTAGACGGAACCGCACTCCGCGGAAGAAAGGACTTCGCCTGCGAACGAAGGGCCGCGATCTCAACGTCAAACTCTTCGAGAATTACTCCTCTTCGAATCGACACGAAGAGCTATCCAAAAGCTCGAAAACGGAGAGAGGGGATGGTAAGCGGAAATGCGCAGTTACACAAAATCTAACAGATTGTACGGTGAAACCTATTTCTCTTTACCATTCGAGGTAGATTCTTACTTGTCCAACTTCTATCAAAAACGTACGAAGCAAGAGGGAAAAGAATTTTCCCGTTTTCTCTCCCTTGAAAATCTAATCCAGTCCCAATTTTCCAACGAAACGTCTCGAGAGCGTGTTCTCGTGGACGATCTAAAGGTGGATTACACAGTCGAAAGGCGAGAACAGAAACGGCGAAACATCGCAGGCCCTCCGCGACAAGTGGAACGAGTGTAGTCAAGATCAGACAACGAGTCGTCCTAATGCCAAGGCTCTACTACTTGCTCTCGCTCGCACTCGCGCCACCACAGTTCATTTATTTTTTCTCTTCTCTTTCTCTCTGTTGCAGATGTGCGCAGCTGGCGTGCTCGAAGGGGGATGAAAGAACGCGTGTAAAGCTTTCGCTGTCACAGCCACGTGTCAACGTCGGGACGAGGCTTGTCTAAACGTTTGTACGGTTTCAGTTTGCCCGTTCAAACGCATCGATCCGCGCGAGACACGGCTACGGGCCGGGCCGAATATCCCCCATCGAGAGAAAGCAGCACGGCTGAGAGCATAATTCTGAATTCGATTTCGCGCGTCTAATTTTAGATATTAACGCCCTGAACTTCCTAAATTGCCCCGGTGTCCGAGTTTCGGGGAAAGGAAGCGCCCGCAGTTCCGCGTTTCGAAGCTTCGTTTCCCTCAACCCTTTGCCGCTACGTTATATCTGAAACT